GGTTACACATCCACAATTTTACATAATGCCCAATTAGTAATTTTGCTTACTATGTTCAAGGACCTGAGTTCAATCCCTAGCACCACAAAAACATACAAAAACTGACACCAGAAAGCCCTTTTAGTTTGTCAGCCTTCAGCTAAAATAGAGACCACCTAAAACACAAATAGATCTATAGCAAATCTCATATTTAGTGGTGAAGAGTTGAAGCTTTTCCTTTGGGATTAGGAATAAGTCACAGCTACCTGCTATCACTGCTCTGTTCAACATCATGCTAGAGGTTCTAGGCAGCGTTAACCTGTCTTCTTTTAAAGAAAGAAGCAACTGGGAGAAAACATAGAAAGAAAGAAACAAAACTCATTCATTATGATATGACTGATATATATAAAGTCCAGAAGAATCTAGAGAATATTTTTGGATTTGAGACAGAGTCTCTCTATGTTACCCTAGCTGGTCTTGAACTCAATTCCTGGGCTCAAGTGATCTTCCTGCCTCAGCGTCCAGAAAAGCTGGGGCTACAGCACATGCCACTGTACCCAGCAACTTTCTGCAATTATTAACACAGTTTATTAAACTTTACACTCACAGGATATAAAAATCAAAATCATATATTCTTATACACATCAATAAACTAAATAAAGTTTATAACAGTATAATTTACAAGATTTGAAAATATAATAAAAGACGGGAGACTGCTCTGTTAAAAACATTATGAAATTTCACTGACAAATGATCATCAGCTGATGACTTTATGTGGTATATACACATAATTAAAATGTGAGATTCCATACAAAACAATAGTATTCCCATAAAAAGGAATACAATTCTGATATATACTACACCATGGATGAACTTTAAAAACATTACACTTACAAGTGAAATCAGACACCAAAGGCCAGTATTAAATAATTTCATTTTCATGAAATGTCCAAAACAGACAAATCCTCTAAGACAGAAAGCAGAGGTCTCTAGTGACTGGGGGAATGMCAGTTTAATAGGTATGGGTTTTCTCAGGAAAGAGAGGTGATGAAAATATACTAAAATTAGAAATTAGTGATAGTTGCACAATATTATTAATGTAATAAAAATCACCAAATTATACACTTAAAATGGTAAGTTTTGTTACATATATATATATATATATATATATATATTTTAACAAATATTATTTCGAAAAATGTTTGAGAAGCAATAAAATAGAACTTATGAATGGATATACCTTATTCCTAGACTAAAACTATTATAAAGATGTCAATTCTAAATAAATTGGCAGATTATAAACAACCGAAATTCCCACAGACTTGTGAAACTGTGGGAGACCAACCTCACATGTGACTGAGTCCCTGGCTGGGTGCTGAGGCACTCAGTCACAGAAATGTGGCAGAGCTTTCCCCACCCTTCTTGGGTTTGAGGGTCGGTGTCTCCTGCATGGGTGTGTCTTGCTACAGCCCCAATGGTGGAGCTATGCTCACCTGTTCCTTTGAAATATAACCCCTTGCCCTGTTTAGGATAGAATCTTCCATGGAAGTGGCTTGTGTGCATCCCCTTCTCTTACTGTGCCCTTGGGTGTGGCCTACCCAGGTGTCAATCATCCTGCTGACAGTGGACATCATGAAGATAGACTCAGCCCCCTGAAACCTGACCCCTTGCCTCATTTGAATAGCTTCTCCTCAATAAAAGGGGGTCAACGCGATGCTCTCTCTCTCTCTTCC